AGCACACCAATGGGTCTCGACCCTTTATCCAATTTGCCAGTCTGTGTCTTTTAATTGGGGCAATTAGTCCACTAACATTTAAGGTTAATATTGTTATATGTGAATTTGATCCTGTCATTATGATGCTAGCTGGATATTTTGCCCATTAGTTGATGCCATTTCTTCATAGTGTTGATGGCCCTTACAATTTGGTATGTTTTTGCAGTGGCTGGTACTGGTTGTTCCTTTCCATGTTTAGTGCTTCCTTCATGAGCTCTTGTAAGGTTGGCCTGGTGGTGACAACATCTCTCAGCATTTGCTTGTCTGTAAAGGATTTTATTTCTCCTTCACTTATTAAGCTTAGTTTGGCTGGATATGAAATACTGGGTTGAAAATTCTTTTCTTTGAGAATGTTGAATATTGGCCCTCACTCTCTTCTGGCTTGTAGGGTTTCTGCCGAGAGATCCGCTGTTAGTCTGATGGGCTTTCCTTTGTGGGTAACCCGATCTTTCTCTCTGGCTGTCCTTAACATTTTTCCCTTCATTTCAACCTTGGTGAATCTGACAATTATGTGTCTTGGGGTTGCTGTTCTTGAGGAGTATCTTTGTGGTGTTCTCTGTATTTCCCGAATTTAAATGTTGGCCTGTCTTGTTAGGTTGGGGAAGTTCTCCCGGATAATATCCTGAAGAGTGTTTTCCAACTTGGTTTCATTCTCCTTGTCACTTTCAGGTACACCAGTCAAATGTAGTTTTGGTCTTTTCACATAGTCCCATATTTTTTGGAGGCTTCGTTCATTCCTTTTCATTCTTTTTTCTCTAATCTTGTCTTCTTGCTTTATTTCATTGAGTTGATCTTCAATCTCTGATATCCTTTCTTCCACTTGATCGATTCAGCTTTGATACTTGTTTATGTTTCATGAAGTTCTTGTGCTGTGTTTTTCAGCTCCATCAGGTCATTTATGTTCTTCTCTAAACTGGTTATTCTAGGTAGCAATTCATTTAACTTTTTTCAAGGTTCTTAGCTTCCTTGCATTGGGTTAGAGCATGCTCCTTTAGCTTGGAGGAGTTTGTAATTATCCACCTTCTGAAGCCTACTTCTGTCAATTTGTCAAACTCATTCTCCATCCAGTTTTGTTCCCTTCCTGGTGGGAAGTAGTGATCCTTTGGAGGAGGAGAGGCATTCTGGTTTTTGGAATTTTCAGCCTTTTTGCACTGGTTTGTTCCCATCTTCGTGGATTTATCTACCTTTGGCGTTTGATGTTGGTGACCTTTGGATGGGGTCTCTGAGTGGATGTCCTCTTTATTGATGGTGATGCTCTTCCTTTCTGTTTGTTAGTTTTCCTTCTAACAGTCAGGCCCCTTTGCTGCAGGTCTGCTGGAGTTTGCTGGAGGTTCACACCAGGCCCTGTTTTCCTGGGTATCACCAGCAGAGGCTGCAGAATAGCAAAGATTTCTGCCTGTTCCTTCCTCTGTAAGCTTCATCCCAGAGGAGCACCTGTCAGATGCCAGCCAGAGCTCTCCTGTAGGAGGTGTCTGTCGGCCTCTACAGGGAGATGTCTCCCAGTCAGAAAACATGGGGGTTAGTGACCCACTTGAGGAGGCCGTCTGACCCTTAACAGAGCTCAAATACTGTACTGGGAGATCCACTGTTTTCTTCAGAGTCATCAGGCAGGGCATTTAAGTCAGCTGAAGCTGCCACCACAGCTGCCCCTTACCCCAGGTGCTCTGTCCCAGGGAGATGGAGCTTTTATTTAAAAGCCCCATAACTGGGGATGCTGCCTTTGTTTCAGAGATGCCCTGCCCAGAGAGGAGGAATCTAGTGAGGCAGTCCGGCCACAGTGGCCTGGCTGAGCTGCAGTGGTCTCTGCCCAGTGTGAACTTCCTGGTAGCTTTGTTTACACTGTGAGGGTAAAATCACCTACTCAAGCCTCAGCAATGGTGGATGCCACTCCCTGCACCAAGCTCGAGCATTCCAGGTTGACCTCAGACTGCTGTGCTGGCAGTGAGAATTTCAAGCCAGTGAATCTTACTTCCTGGGCTCTGTGGGTGTGGGACCCGCGGAGCCAGACCACTTGGCTCCCTGGCTTCAGCCCCTTTTCCAGGGGAGTGAATGGTTCTGTCTTGGTGGTGTTTCAGGTGCCACTGGGGTATGAAAAAAAAAAAAAAAAATGCCTGCAGCTAGCTCGGTGTCTGCCCAAATGGCCGCCCAGTTTTGTGCTTGAAACCCAGGGTCCTGGTGGTGTAGGCACTGGGGGGAGTCTCCTGGTCTACAGGTTGCAAAGACCATGGGGATAGCGCAGTATCTAGGCTGGAGTGCACTGTTCACAGTCCCTCCCAGCTATCCTTGGCTAGGGCAGGGAATTCCCCAACCCCTTGTGCTTCCCAGGTGAGGCAACACCCCACTCTGCTTCGGCTCACCCTCTGTGGGCTGCACCCACTGTCCAACCAGTCCCAGTGAGATAAACCGGGTACCTCAATTGGAAATGCAGAAGTCATCCATCTTCTGCATCGATCTCACTGGGAGCTCTGGACTGGAGCTGTTCCTGTTTGGCCATCTTGTCAGCAATCATGTTGACAGATTTTTAAGTGGGAAACTAACATTGCATTATTGAAATTAACCCTTACTTGTTGTAATGTACTAGTCTCTCTTATTTGGTAATTTTTAAAAGCATTTTCTTCTAAAAATTAGTCTATAATTTTCCTTTCTTATATGTTTTAGAATTAAGATCATATTGGCCTTACAAAAAAGTAGAGAAGTGTTTCCTTTTTCTATTGTCTAAAAGAATTTATGTAAGATTGTTGTTATTTCTTCATTTAATGTTTAAAAGAAATCACCGGTGAAACCATTGAATCTGGAGTTTCACTTGGGTGAACGTTTTTAATTATAGGTTAGGTTTTTTAAATAGAGATACGAATTTTTGTTTCTCTTTGTGTCCATTTTGGTAAGCTATGTTTTTCTAGGGATTTCTCAGTTTCACCACAATTTTAAATGACATAACTCTTGATTATATTCCTTATTATCTATTCAATATCTATATAACTTGAGGAATGTTTCATTTTTCCTCCTAATGTTGAAAATTTGTCTTTGCTTCTGTTTATGATGTCATGCTAAAGGACCTATCAATTTTATTGTTATTTTCAAATAATACAATTTGGGTTTTGTTTATTTTCTCTAGTGAACATCTGTTTTATATTTTTCTGCTCCTATATTCATTCTACATTTCAATCCCATAAGACATTAAATTATTGATACATATGGTGAATATTTACTTACATTTACCCTCATATTATCTCTTTTCATTTTTCTTTATTATTTTCTCATGTTTCCATGCTTCTGTGTGGGACCATTTTTCTTTTGTCTGCAGAATTCCTTCTAGTATTTCTTTTAGTTCGCATCTGCTAGTGATGAATATTTTTACTCTTGTTTAACTAGAAATGTCTTTAGTTTCCCTTCAGTTTTGAATAGCATGTTTGCTTGGTATAGAGTTCTAGATTGGCAATTATTTTCTTTCAGCACCTTTTGCTTTTCTTATTTTTACTTTTATTTAAGACATTTTTATTTTAGAATTCCCCAGGCTGGTCTGGTCTGAAACTCCTGGCTCAAGTGATACTCCTGCCTCATCCTTCCAAGTAGCTGAGATTACAGATGTGAGCTAACATACCCAACTCTTTCAGCACTTTTTAAATATTATTTCATTGTCTTCCATCTTCCATCATCTCAGTTGAGGAGTGAATTTAAGTCTTTTGTTGCTTTTACAACTACTGTGCCTTTTAAAAATCCAACTGCCTGAACGATTTTCACTTGTCTTTGGTTTTAACAGTTTGGCTATAAAGTGCTTAGGTTGTATTTCTTAAATTCATCTTACTTTGGGTTTGTAGGCTTGAATCTGAGACTTGTCTTTCATTAATTTCAGAGAATTTTACAGCCATTGTTTATTAAAATATTGCTTCTGACTTGATATGGTTTGGCTCTGTGTCCTCACTGAGATCTCATCTTGAATTCTAAGCTGAATTGTAAGCCCCACATGTTCAGAAAGAGACCTCATGGAAGGTAACTGAATTATGGGGGCAGTTTCTCCACGCTGTTCTCGTGATAGTGAATGAGTTCTCACAAGATCTGATGGTTTTGTGAGGGGCTTCCCCTACCCCTTTGTTCTGCACTTCTCTCATTCTTCTTCTTCCTGCCACCATGTGAAGAAGGACATGTTTCCATCCTCTTCCACCATGATTGTAAGTTTCCTGAGGCTTCCCCAGCCATTTGTGAGTCAATTAAACCTCTTTCCTTTAAAAATTATCCAGTCTTAGGCAGTTCTTTATAGCAGCATGAGAACAAACTGATACATGACCCATTATTGTACTTTTCTCTTTTGGAGACTTTAATTTCAAAAGTACACAGTACTCTTTTTCTATATTACCCACCCTTTTTACACATTATGCTTCAGTTTGCATATTTTCTATTCACTTTTCTTCTAGTTCACTACTATTTTGGTCTTGTATAGCTAATGTGCTGTTAAACTCTTTCATTGAGTACTTAATTTCAGTTTTTGAATTTTTCAGTTCTAGTATTTCTATTTTATGGATTCAAATTTTCTAGTAAAACTCTATTTTTCTCTATTATCTTGACATATTAATCATAGCTATCTTATTTTTCTAATAATTCTAATACTTGGTTTTCCTTGAAACTGTTTTTATTGTGTTTTTTCTGTTGTTATTTTTCAGTCATAAGGTGTGCCATGCCTAGTAACTTTTTATTAAACGTGGCACATTGTGTACGAAAATTTTTAGGGGTTGTGGATGATTTTATCTTATCTTCCTTCAGGGATTACTATTTCCTCTGCTAGCAGATCAAGTAGGCGATTAATGCTTTGTTCCCATTCAAAACTGAAATGACTATAGGTTCAGTGTACTTCTAGATCAACCCTGACTCTTCGGTCATAGCATCTAGGTGTTTCACCTGAGGACTTATGGAGGCCTGACATCTAATACCTCCCTTTTCAGCAATAAGTGATTACCAAAATCTGTGCAGTACTTAACAGAGGTTTTCATCTGGCCTCTAATCTCCATCCCAGCACAGCCTGAGAATTCAGCAGATGTCTTCAGGCAAGTCCAACAAAGTATCGGGGTCAGTTTCTCACTTCTCTTTCCTTATAAAAATCAAGCCTCTATGACTTGTTGTCTTTCTAGTGTGAGATGGTGAAAGGCTTCACTGGTTTCTCTGCCTCTTAGTAGCAATCCTCTCCCTGATCCCTTTGCTTGAATTCTTCACTTCTTTTATTGCTCTATACTTAGAATTTAAAAATGTCCTGAGGAAAACAGTGACTGCATAATGTCAGCTCAATTCTCTATATGGTTCTCCCTTCTCCAAGATTTTGTCCCATTAATTCCTATTTTCCTCTGTAACTCTTTGATTACTTCAAACATATATTTAAAATACATATTTAACTTCTCTAGCTGATCTTAGAAGAAGCATTATTCTATCTGAACTATTCCATCACACCTGCAAGTAAGCGGGGTTTTGTTTGTTTGTTTGCTTTTTGAGATGGAGTCTCACTCTGTTGCCCAGGCTAGAGTGCAATGGTGCGACCTTTGCTCACTGCAACCTCCGGCACCCGGGTTCAAGCAATTCTCCCACCTCAGCCTCCCAAGCAGCTGGGATTGCAGGCACCCATCATCATGCCCAGCTAATGTTTTTCATGTTTTTGTAGAGAGGGGGTTTAACCATGTTGGTCAGGCTGGTCTTGAACTCCTGACCTCTGGTGATCCACCTGCCTCAGCCTCCCAAAGTGCTGGGATTACAGGTGTCAGCCACTGCGCCTGGTCCAGTTTTCTTTTTTAAACAAAAATTTTATAACATTCTACTCAGCTTGAGGTATTTTTTGCCTACAGAATGAAATCCAAACTTCTTACCAGGTCAGAGAAGTTCCTTTTAACCACCTAGTGTTAGTATATCTTTCTAGCTTCATCTCCTGCTACTCCCTTTCATTCACCCTATAACTCAGTCAAATTGACCTGCTCATGAATCCTCAAATATACCATGCTCCTCCACCATTTTAAGCCTTTGCACAAGCCATATCTTTTGCTAAAAATTCCCTTTCCCTTTTCTGTCTTCCCAAGCTACTACTGATCATTAAGACTCATCTTAAATGCCACTTCCTCTATGAAGCTTTGCCTGTGTGCCAAGAAAAAAGTTAGATACTCCTTCTTTTGAATATCTATGTTGATACTACTATTTTAACACTTTCTTTGTTATAATGTATGTTAATCCGTTTATCTTCTCCAGTGGACTCTGAGATACTTGAAGGTAAGAATATGACATTATGATTACTTGTATCTTCAATGTCCAGAATAGTACTTGGCATATATTAAGCTCAAGTTTAGGAGTCCTCATTGTATATCGTTCTCACTAAAAGCCCTTGGAATTCTTTTCTACCTGCCATCCTAATTGTAGAGGACTACGTGCTCGCAAACGAGACTGAGATGTTCCCGATAAGTCCTGCTCTTGCAAACGAAGCAGGGCATTCCTTCCCTGCAAACAGGGAGGACAAAGGAGCCAGCTGCTAACAGCAGACCCTGGGGGCTTGTTTATTTGTAAACATCTTGAAAATCCAGAAAGTCAGGGAAAGGTCAGAAAAACAACAATGTGTCTTGTGACTTGGCAACATTTCACAAACGACTGTATAAAATAAAGCAGAGCGCGCCATTTGAGGTGGCCGCCATGTTTGTCTTGTCTTGTGTTGTCTTATGTGTTCATTCCTTTGTTTAGGAAATATGCGGACCCCAACACTAATCAATCTACTTTTCTTCCTTTCCTTCATAGTCAAACTTGCTACAAATGATCTAAAACTCTGCCTTAATTATCTCAATTTCCATAATATCAAATATTTATTTTACTGAAATTTGGCAATTGTCTTATAACTTTACAGAAACAACACTCTTGAAATTGCCCAACATTTCCTTCTCACTGTACACCTCGTTTTTTATTAATTGATCCTATGAACTTCAGAATTGATGTACACCTTGTTTTAAAATCATTTCTATATAATTTATCTGACAAACTATTAAAAACTATAGTAGATTTTTTTGCGTATTAATACCACAAAAAGTCTTAAACTTAGTAAGTCAGATAAAGAATGAAGGCCGTCTTCAAAGATCTTACTACAGTTCTATCCTTCTATGTCTCCTTTGTATCAGCTGAGACTGCTTACTATCTTCTTCAAATCTCTTTCCTCACAGGAAAGAGACAATACCCGCATCTAGCTCTATACTACTTCTACTTCTATGTGTTAAATCATGTGGGAATGAAAGAGAATTCAAAGGGTAAACAGCACAAATGTGATTGGATTTAGCCAGAAGAGGAAGTAGTAATCAGGGTAGGACCAGCTGCATGATGAAAAATGCCACTATCATTTTGACCATGAGATAGCATCAGGGATTTCACCATAATCAAAAAGATTTGTGATGGTCACAGGCAGTTTCAACCTTTCTGGTATTCAGAATCATGATATAGGGACTGAGGATATGAGTATCTCAAAATACTGAGTAAAGATCCATGTTGTCCATTTGGCTGAGAGTGATAACAGGTAGAACCCAAACTGTTAGAGAAAAGAAAACAAGCAAAAGAATAAGGGAAAGTTGCACTAGATGACTGGCTAAAAAGGTATACTGCTCTTTAATATGAGTTGAACTAGTCACAAGGATCAAGAGTAAATTAGGAGGGAGTAGAAAGAATTGCTTGATCTCATAGTGGCTAACCATGAAATTGCCACTGGAGTTCCTAGTCCTACCCAGTTTATTCCCACTCCAGAATGGGGATAGAGTTTGGCACGATGTAAACTTTTCTAGCTTCTCTTTTTCTTCCCATTCCAGCTGTGGCCATTCTCCCATATTCTCTATTTTTATCCGTCTTCCTTCTGTTGCTTCTCTTCAGAGTCTCATTTTGCTTACCTTATTTCAATCATTATCTCTTTTCAGATGTCTCTGTTTTGCTGCCTTCTGGAGTGTAGGCAATCATCAAATCTATAGATCTCTAGCCTTATCCTGTGTAGTAAGACCCACATATTTTAAATTTCCTACTAAACATGACCATCTCATAAAATTCCTCAGTAAAATACTAGCAAACTGACTTGAATAACACATCAAAAATATTATACACCATGACCAAGTGAGATTTGTCCCTGAGATGCAAGATGAGTTCAACATATACAAATCAATCAATGTCATATGCTACAAAACAGAATGAAAGATAAAAACCATATGATCATCTCAATAGATGCAGAAAAACATTTGACAAAGTTCAACATCCATTTATGATAAACACTCAACAAAATAGGGACAGAAATTCCTTCAACATATCAGGTCATTTATGAAAAGCTTACAGTTAACATCATAATTCATGGAGAAAAACTGAAAGTTTTTCCTCTAAGATCCAGTACAAAGCAAGAATGCCCATCATCACTACTTCTATTCAACCTAGTACTTCTTGTATTTCCTTGATGATTAGTGATGTTGAATACCTTTTCATATCTCTGTTGGCCATTGGTATGTCTTCCTTAGAAAAATGTCTGTTGCAAGTCCTTTGCCCAATCAGCAAGGGCAATCAGACACAAAAAAGAAATAAAAAGTGTCCACTTGGAAAGAAGAGGTAAAATTATCCCTATTTGCAGATGGCATGATTCTACATGTAGAAAATACTAAAGGCTCCAGAAAAGAAAAAACACACCACGATTCGACTAATAAACAAATTCATTAAAGTTGTAGGATACAAAATCAGGATACAAAAATCAGTAGCATTTATATACACCAATAACAACCTGTCTGAAAGAGAATCAAGAAAGTAACTCTATTTATGATAGCATCAAAAAGAATAAAATACTTAGGAATTAATTTAACCAAAGAAGTGAAAGATTTGAAAACTGAAAACTATAAAACATTGATTAAAAAAATTGAAGAAGACCCAAATAAATGGAAAGATACTCTATGTTCACAGATTGGAAAACATTAATATTATTAAAATGTCCATACTACAAAAAGTAATCTACAGACTGAATGTAATTTTTCTGAAAATTTCAGACATTTTTCGCGAAAATAGAAAAACCTATTCTAGAATTTGTATGAAACCACAAAAGACCATGAGTAGCAAAAGCAGTCTTGAGAAAGGAAAATAAAGTTGGAGGAATTGCATTTCCTGATTTCAAATTATATTACAAATTTATAGTATCTAAATAGTATGATATTAGCATAAAACCACATGCATAGACCAATGGATCAGAATAGGGAGCCCAGAAATAAACCCACACATTTATCATCAACTGACCTTCAACAAGGACACCAATAAGACACAATAGGAAAACAATAGTCTATTCCACAAATGGTACTGGGAAAACTGGATATCCACATACAAAGGAATGAAATTGACCCCCACCCTGGCCTTTTTTTAAACACCATATACAAAAATCAGCTCAAAATGGATTAAAAGTTTAAATGTGACCTTAAACTGTAGAACTTCTAGAAATAAGTTAGGAGAAAAGTTTTTTAATCTTGGCTTTGGCAATTATTTTTTAACATAACATAAAAAATTCAGGCAACAGAAGCAAAAATAAACAAGTGGGACTATATTAAACTAAAAAGCTTCTGCACAGCAAAGGGAGCAATCAACAAAATGAAAAGGCAATCTATGAATTGGGAGAAAATATTTACAAACCACGTATCTGGTAACGGGTTAATATCCACAATATATAAGAAACTCACACAACTCAATAACAAAAAACAACCTGATTTAAAAATGGGCAAAGGACTTGCAACAGACATTTTTCTGAGGAAGACATACCAATGGCCAACAGAGATATGAAAAGGTATTCAACATCACTAATCATCAAGGAAATACAAATTAAAACTACTGAGATATCACCTTACACCTGTTAGGATGGCTGTTATCAAAAACACAAGCAATAAGTGTTCGTGAGGGTATGGAGAAAAGGGAACCATGTACACTATTTGTGGGAATGTAGATTGGTACAGCCCCATTTATAAAAAACAGCACAGGCCGGGCGCGGTGGCTCAAGCCTGTAATCCCAACACTTTGGGAGGCCGAGACGGGTGGATCACGAGGTCAGGAAATCGAGACCATCCTGGCTAACACGGTAAAATCCCGTCTCTACTAAAAAATACAAAAAACTAGCCGGGTGAGTTGGCGGGCGCCTGTAATCCCAACAACTCGGGAGGCTGAGGCAGGAGAATGGTGTAAACCCAGGAGGCGGAGCTTGCAGTGAGCTGAGATCCGGCCACTGCACTCCAGCCCAGGCGACAGAGCCAGACTCCATCTCAAACAACAACAACAACAACAACAACAAAACAGCACAGAGGTTCCTCAAAAAATTAAAAATAGAATTGCCACATTATCTAGCTCTTCCACTTCTGGGTATATATTCAAAGACAATGAAATCAGTACCTCAAAAAGATCATCTGAACTCCCATGTTCACTGCAGCATAATTTATAACAGCTAAGATATAGAAACAACCTGTGTCTGTTGATGGATGAATGGATAGAGAAAATGTGATGTATGTTTGTATATACACACTTACATACACACACCCAATGGAATATTAGACAGCCTTAAAAAAGGAGATCCTGTCATTTACAACAACATGGATGAAGCTGGAGGACGTTATGCTAAGTGAAATAAGCCGTGCATGGAAAGGAAACCTGTTCATGATCTCACTTACACGTGGAATCTAAAAAAGTCATACACTGAAACAGAGAGTAGAACAGAGCTTCCCAGGGGCAGAGACTGGGGAAACAGGAAGAGGTTGCTTAAAGGGTACAAAGTTGCAGTTCTGTAGGATAAAGGAGTTTAGAGATCTAATGTACAGCATGGTGACCATAATTAATAATACTGTGCTGTATACTGGAAATTTTCTGAGAGACTTCAAGTGCTCTCACTCTAAAACAAAAAAAAAAATGGGGTGACTATGTGAAGAGATAAATGTATTAATTTGCATGACTTTAGTAATCATTTCACTATGTATGTGTTTCAAAATATCATGTTAGGCTGGGCATGGTGGCTCATGCCTGTAATTCTAGCACTTTGGGAGGCTGAGGCGAGTGGGTTGCCTGAGGTCAGGAGTTCAAGAACAGCCTGGCCAACATGGTGAAACCCCATCTCTACTAAAAATACAAAAATTAGCCAGACGTAGTGGCGGGCACCTGTAGTACCAGCCAGTCAGGAGGCTGAGGCAGGAAAATCGCTTGAACCCAGGCCATGGAGGTTGTAATGAGCTGAGATTGCGCCATGGCACTGCAGCCTAGGCAACAGAGTGAGACTCTGTCTAAATATATATATATATCCCAGCACTTTGGGAGGCCAAGGTGGACAGATCACAAGGTCAGGAGATCGAGACCATCCTGGCTAACATGGTGAAACCCGGTTTCTACTAAAAATACAGAAAATTAGCTGGGCATGGTGGTAGGTGCCTGTAGTCCCAGCTACTCGGGAGGCTGAGGCAGGAGAATGGCTTGAACCCGGGAGGCAGAGCTTGCAATGAGCCGAGATCGTGCCACTACACTCCAGCCTGGGCAACAGTGTGAGACTCCATCTAAAAATAAATAAATAAATAATAAAAATAAATAAAACAAAATGTGTTTCACACCTGAAATACATGAAATTTTAAAATTATTTAAATTTCCTTCTTTCATCTCAAAATCAGACTTATCATTTCCCCCTCAAACCTTTTCTGATTCCCTATTTCTTTTACTATTTAACCAGCCTGGCTATTATAGGTTGTGAGGCTGAGTCTGTGTAAGGAATCATTCATCTAGCAGTGATGACTATGCAATAGAATCACCTGGGGGAGCTTTCAAAACATACCAATGCCAAAAAAGAAAAAAAAAAAAAAAATGCCTGCACTGAACTCTGGACAAATGGAATCAGAATCACCGAGGGGAGAGTGTGAAGTCTGTTCCAGTCCCAGTCTGGGCTTTTGTTTCTCATCTACAAAATGGATACAATATTATTTTCCATATGGAATTGTTGTGAAGATGAAAAATAAACTATGTAATACACCTACCGCAATACCTGGTACATAACTGGGGGCTCAGTGAATGGTTTCTATTAATAAGAATAATACCTTTATTTTCCTGTTATTCTAATCACTGAAGTTCATGGTAACTCCTAGTTCTCTGGGTCCTCATTCCCTACATTCAGTTATGCCAAGCTTTATCAATTCAAATTGTAAAATACCACTGGATTCATTCTCTGCTTCAAACTCTTTTTCTCTCCTACAGTTTAGTATGAAAAATTTTAAATATGTATCAAAGTTGAAAGAATTGTATAGCGAATGTGCATAGACTCACCACCTAGGTTCTTCCATGAATATGTTAGCTACACTTGCTTTATCACATAACTCTTCATCTTAGTTTCTGATACATTTCAAAGTAGATTACAGACATCAGTGCACTTCCCTCTAAATGTAATCATTAACTAGAGATCCATGTTTACAGTTTTTTTTTCTGTGACAAAACTTACATATAACGTAGTACACAAATCTTACGTGTATATTTACTGACTCATTTTACAAATGAATATGCCCTTTGAACCCAAATTCCTAACAAGATATAGAATATTACCATTACCCTAAAAAGTTTTCTCATGCTTTCCCCATCAGTGGCCACCTTTCCTCCCCAATCAACTTCTGTTCCAATTTTTTCCAACACAGAGGAATTTTGTCAGGCCCTTATTAATTCACACCAACCTAGACTATGAAGTAGTCTTCAAACTGGTTTTCCTGCCTCAACTAGAATCACTCTTTACCTTGAATTAACCTTTCATCCAGATGCTACAATAGTCTCCTAAGTCACCACTTTGTCAGGTCACCACTCCACCCTGTACCATTTCATAAGCTCCCATTGCCTGTAAAGGCCAAGCTGGCCCCAGCCTGGTTTTGGCTTCATCCCTACCACTCCTGAAGTAGAAAACTTCGAACTTCTTTCAAGGCACTACACACTTCCTTGGGTTTAGTTAGTTGTAGAAAACTGGACAGTAAGCATCTTGAAAACTGAAGTGGTATCCTAAGTATCTTTTTATCTGCTGCGGCACGTGACACTTCCTTGCGCATAATCAGCAGCCAATAGATAAGCATGGAATAAACTAACGGTTAAATTTTAAGGAGGAAATGAATGAGTCTTTAACTCTGACATTGCCCTGGCATTAACTTGGATTGGTTTTATTTACACTGTTTCTAGCTCATAAGAATGTGGTGAGGTCACTGTGTAACAATTCCTCAAGGAACCCTATAAGATTCAGGGATCAAAAAGAGAGGGGGATGTAAGGGGAATCCACTGAAAATTTCTGATTGGAACTCTACAGTGTGACCTTATGCTACAAAAAGATTGAAACTTTGATTTTTTTAAAGTTAGTTCTTGTCTTGTTAATTCAACAAGAAGCTGAATTAACTAACTCTCCAGTTTCAAGTGTACAGCTTAGAGCAGGGATCTCAACCGTGGCTGCATATTAGAAGCATCTGGGGAGCTTTTAAAACTTACTGGTGCCCACGCTCCACCCCCAGCCATTTTGATTCCATGTGTCTGGGGTTCAGCCCTGGCGCTGGTATGTTTTGAAAGCTCCCAAGGTGATTCTAATGTGCAGTCACCACTGCTAGATGAATGGTTCCTCACACAGACTCAGCTTCACAACCTGTGATAAATACACAAGCAAATTTACTGCCACCTCCTCTCCCTCCAGAGACCCAGTGTGAAAGGAAAGAGAAAATTTCTAGTCAAAGAGGATAATTTGTTTTGTACCACTCCTGGCAGAGTACAGTGTGTGTGTGCGCACCACAGAGGAGAGGTGTGGGTCTTTGCAGCAGCTACAGGTTCTCAAAGAGCGGGGCCCTTCCTCTTAGTTGCAGGAAGGCTAGGTCAGTAGTTGCCAGGCAGGAAAGGTAGTCACATAAGGTTCATGTGAATCCTGTTGCTTCAGACTGTCCCAGTGAGAGGCCATCATGCTTCTTAATCACATGGGAAATGACTAGGAGGGTAGGGGGAGGAGGTTCTCAGCAAAAATAACCATCAAACCTTTTAGAACAGAGATGCTGACGATAGCCACATACTACTTGTATTTCAAACATAAAGTTGGGGCCTGTCACATGGAAGGGTAGACATGAGCAGATGTGTCAGTCAAGTTCCTATGCAATAACCAAAGTATACCAGGGTTCCCCAGCCTTTTATTTTCAGGGCAGTAATGGAAAATAGTACAGTTTTCCATATGTTGGGTAAACTAAAGGCAATGGTGAGAGGGCATCTGTGTTGAATTTAGTGAAAAAAAAATCATTTCTTTATATTATATGATTAAAAGAAAACTAAAATGCTAAGTATACAGGAAAGTATTAAACACTGAGTTTGTTTAAAATTTCCAAATAAAATCTGATCAAAATTTTAATGAGAAAATGAACTTGTCTTTTTAGAATAATTCCTTTTCCTCTGAACCCCAGTGGGTTTTTATACCCTTCAGTTGTATCGTTGGTCCCTGCTGGACTGATGGTTCCCTTATCCCACTCTCATTATCACTGCCCTGCCCCTCCCAAAGGGCAGCCACTCTATTCTGTTTCATCTGTATTTTTTATTTGTCTGTGCTCTTATAAAATGTGCATTGTTGCTTTGTAGGAGGTACTTTTAATTTGTGTAGATAGCATTGTGATCTATACCTCATTTTATTCCTTTGCTTTGTTTTCAACAAGCACTGTTTTTTCAGCACAATCCAAAGTGTTCTGTGTATTTTTCATCCTCTGCTTCCCATTGCTGCATGGCGCTCCACAGAGTGCAGGCACATGGTTCACCTACCCACACGCGGGGTGCTTTCAATACTTTGTCACCACGGAAAACATTCATTTTCTGCAACGGAAGGAAATCACTTTCCTGTCCTCAACTGGAATCCAGATCATTTGCTCCTTTAAGTTATACTTCTTTAAGTCTAATAGCTAGCTATTCCTACTGTGGAATGCAAATGGTAAATCATAATGCAAATGGTTTCCAGTTCAATTAAACTTTTTCTTTGTTTTTAGAGACAGGGTCCTGCTATGCTGCCCAGGCTGGAGTGCAGTGGCTATTCACAGGCATGATCATGGCATACTACAGCCTTGAACTCCTGGGCTCAAGCAATCCTCCAGCCTCAGCCTCCTGAGTAGCTGGGACTACAGGTGTGAGTCACTGCACCTGTCTAAAGCTGAACTTTTTTATATCAAGTATTCAAAAATAATAATTTTTTCCTCAAACATACTCACCATTATACTTGTAACTCCATTGTTTTGAATAATTCCATTCAAAGATTAAAATCGTAACCCCAGTAAGTATCTCCAGTGAACTTTGTTATGCCCCATTTTCCCAGGTTCAAGTTTTGCTGTGATTCCTTAAATTTTGTCAGTACACAGTAACACATTTTCACACAGCTCTTATAATTTTCCTGTTCCAAGTAAAAGTTACCACTATAAACATGCTTTGCAGTTGTCATGTGTTGCTTACCTATCTCTTCCGTCTGGTAACAGACTTGACCTTATTGCAGGTGGGGAGTCTGCCGCTGAGAACAGCAAGAGGTAGCTGGTTTCTTCTCCCTTTTTGCAGTCTGGCTGCTACCCTTCCTCCCATCTTGCCGGAGATGGTTTCTGACCCTTCTCTGGGATGGGAAATTAGGAGTGAGGAAAGGAGAGGCACAATATTTTTGCCGCTGCCAGAGTTGCATTGCTCTCTTTGGATGTAGCAAACGTTTAAAACTGGGGTTTTCTCATCTGTGGTATCCTTGTAGGTAATACACTCTGCTCCTGCTCAAAATTAAGATCTCAGCCCCTGGGGAACTGGCAGTTCATTTGCAGATTCTTTTCACTGGTAGCCTTTTGTCCCTGTGGGCAGTCTTTGGGTGGACCTAAGTCACTCCCTGGTTCGTTCTTGCACAAGATCTGCACCTGGTCCTTGGGCTCCATCCATGCGTATTTTTAGGCCCCTCCCAGCACAGCAGAAATCTCTCCTTCACCAGCTCTGAAGAGCAGCTGACCAGCGCAGCTCCCATCTCTCCCGATCCCTGGTCAAGAGGCAGAGGTGAGTCCTCTGTGAGTCCTCTGCGTCTCCCATACCGTAAGAGAACACACATCCCATCACACGTTACCATTAAAACTCCATTCCCGGGACTTCTGGAGAGCTTAGACAGTTTCATCCTCCAGCATTTCCACGCACACAGAGAGTGAGGCTCACAAAACATCAGCAGTTCTCTCCAAAAGCACCCTCCAAGTCTCCTTCGGTCTCCACTGACACAGGTGAGGGGTGGGACATCATCTCATTGGCTCTCTGCCCCTCCTTTCTGCACATCCTGCACAGCTGCGGTCCTCACACTTCACTCTGGCATTGCGTGGCCAGGGTCTTAGGGTCTCCGCTGAAAGTTTCTTGGAACATTCTGTTGCATGCACATTATGATGCCCTGGCTGAGGCAGGTTGATGGCTTTTGATGAAAACAACAGAAGTTGACAGGAAAACAAAAGCATGCACACTGTGTAAAAACGTGTGGTCCAGCTTGACTATGATTCTGCAGCTAGCACGGTCCCTTCCTGCAAAGTATACCTGCTCTCTTTGAAACTGACATTAAAAATCAGGAAAATCCCAGCTTCTCTTAGTAGCCATATGCAGCAGTTTCTTCTCAAATTAATGCATTCTTTTTGAGGCCTATTTTTTTTTTTTTTTTGAGTTTGCCAGAAGGAAGAAAGAGCCAGGGCAGGGGTTTGTTACTGGAAAAAGGGTCTTGTCCCAGACACCAAGAGTGGGTTCTTGGATCTCTCACGGGAAAGAATTCAGGGTCTTCATTTAGTTAGCCTCACTAACTTATTCCCTCAACCTTAAATATCTTGTGAGCAGGACTGCCCAATCCCCTGGGAATAGAACCCAGCAGGTTTGGCTTTATCCAGCCTCTATTCAGGATGGGGGCACTCTGGTTAGGACGACTCTGACAGGTTCGCTGCAGCACCAGTCGAGCGCTCCTCCAGAGCTAAGAGCAGGAGAGGCAAGGCCACTCCAAAACACAGGAACCGCCAGACTTGAAGGGTCAACAGCAAGATTCCAGCAGGAACTATGAGATCTGAAACGGCCAGTTATTAGGGGGTGTTACCACAGGAAGGCGCTAAAGTCAGCCTATGACACAAAGCAGAGGACTTGCAACCAAGGGCTGAAAATTTCTTAAAAACAAAGAATAAGAGTTGTTTGTATACTTGTTGGCAATTTTTGAAACTTTTTATTCATGCTAAGTATCTGGACATTAAAAATATTATAAAGAAATTAACCTTGGTACATTTTCACATATTTTGATCAGTTTCTGAGTTGTACCTGTATATAATACTGGTTAATGGCATTTCTCTAAAGACTTTTTATTTGGTGAGTAAACCAAGATTAAAATTGTAAGACCCCCAACGGACTGAATGGACCCCCCTAGTCAAGAGGATTCCAAAGAAACCTGAAAAACCAGTTCCTGCCATGGTGAGAAGTGGGGTCAGACATGCCTCATCACACCCACTGCCTTTTGGAGTTTAGCACAACTGACCAGCGTTCACATTAAAACAGAGATCCTAAGACTCACTGAACAGACTCTTTGTAGCAACCAGACACCAACGTCAACCTGACTCAGCTACAACATCACGACACATACCAGACCCTAAAGGAAATCAAACTATTTTACCCCCAAAATAGGTTTCTTTGATATATTCTGAAATGGCCTTGAAAGGCTGTCTCTTGTAGGGGAAATTTACATTTTGTAGAGAATCTCCTTCCCTTTCCAGGTCTTTTCCTGATTCAGGAGCAAGTTAACTGAGTCTGACACGTTTTAAGGTATGATAAGAGATATTTACCATCTGTTCTCTCTGACGCCTTCTCCCTGAACCTTAACTTCCACAACTCCTCCACCCCCACTGCCACCCCAACGCTTACTTTAATTCAAGCTGATGTCAACTCTCCAGGTATAGCTTAACTCTTTCAATCAACTGCCAACCAGGAAAGCTTTGAATCCACCTGTGACCTGGAAGCCCCTTCCCACCTGCTTCAAGATGTCCTGCCTTTTTTAGCTGAACCAATGTATATCTTAAATGTATTAATCTATGTCACTGCCTGTCACTACTGTCTCCCTAAAATGTATAAAATCAAGCTATAACCCAGTCACCTTGGGCACATGCTCTCAGGACCTCCTGAAGCTGTGTAACTGGCCATGGCCCTCAACTTTGGCAAAATAAACCTCTAAATCCGTTTAGACCTGTCTCATACTTTTTGGTTTACAGGTATCATTATCATTAATTTTATTTCACAAAATTGCCAGCAATATTATTCAAAGTGGCATTTTGCAGTTACTACCTTTGAGAGCTTTTTGACTCCTTCATTTGACCTTCTCTGTAGATCATGTTATTTCAAATTGAGAAAGTTCTCCCTTTATGGGCCCTGAGGTACCTGGAGAGCACCAAGCAAATTCTATAAATGATGGGTATTTTCAATTCTACTTTCTTTGGTATTAAATGTGTAAATATTTCAGTCCCAATATCCTCCCAGTTACTGCCTTTTGCCCCTGCCCCTCATCTCTCAGGCTTGTCCTTGCTGTGAGCTTCAGAGCAGGTGGACTGATCTCACCATGCCCTTCGCATGTCGCTGTGACACGGCCCAGGGCCCAGGCCTCCCCGGACTCTGACCTGCATGCTTCCCCACACATCCCGTTATCTGACTTTATTTCTCCCTCTTCCAAGCTCTGGAAACCTTTCCCAAGTACCATTGAGAATAGAGTTGTCCATAGGAAAGAGAATGACAGTCATATATATAATTTCAAATTATCCAGTGACCATATTTAAAAAGCAAAAAGAAACAGATAAAATTGCCTTAAATATATTTTAGTTCAATATATTAAGAAATTATTATTTCAATATACAACCTGGCTGGGTACAGTGGCTCACACCTATAATGCCAGCACTTTAGGAGACTGAAGCAGGAGGATTACTTGAGCCCAAGAGTTCAATACCAGCCTGGGCAACAAAGTTAGATCTCATCTCCACAAAAAATAAAAAAATTAGCCGGGAGTGGTGGCACACACCTGTGGTCCTAGCTACTTGGGAGGCTGAGGCAGGAGGATCCCTTGAGCCCAGGAATTCGAGGTTGCAGTGAGCCATGATTGCACCACTGCACTCCAGCCAGCCTGTGCAACAGAGCGAGACGCTGTCTCGATAGCAATAATAATAATTTCTATGGGTAGACTGAATGTTTATATCACCCCAAATTCATAAGATCAAATCCTAACCCCCAATGTGATGGTCTATGGAGGTGGGGCCTTTGGAAGATTAGGTCATGAGAGTAGAATCCTCATGAATGGGATTAATGCCTTTGTGAACGGGACCCTAGAGAATTCTCTGGCCATCGTTCCACCATGTGAGGATACACCTGGAAATCAGCAGTCTACAACTTGGAAGAGGCTTCTTATCAGATCCCATGATGCTGACACCTTGAAACTGGACTTCCAGCCTCCAAAACGGTGAGAAAAAAAATGTGTTGTTTAAGCCACCCAGTCTATGGCAATTTGTTATAGCAGCCTAAGCTAAGTTGAGTGCAGTGGCTGAGTGTGGTGGCACGATCATACCTCACTGCAGCCTCAATTTCCTGAGTTCAAGTGATCCTCCTGCCTCAGCCTCCTGAGTAGTGGGACCATAGGCATGCACCACCATGGCCAGCTAATTTTTTTGATTTTTAGTAGAGATGGGGTATTGCTGTGTTGCTCAGGCTGGTCTCAAACTCCAGAGCTCAAGTGATCCTTCCACCTTGGCCTCCCAAAGTGCGGGGATTACAGGCCTGAGACACCATACTCAGCCAAGAAATTATTAATGAGACATTTTCTATTCTTTTATTGTCCTGAAAATCCAGTGTGTATTTTATACTTTTGGCACATCCCATTTCAAATGAGCCACATTTTCAGTGCTCAGTAGCTGTATGTACTGGTAGTTGCCACATGGGACCTCGGTGCTTTGAGTGTGGTCCAAAGACCAGCAGCAGCATCACCTGTGACCTTGTTAGAAATGCAGAAACACTACATCTCAGAACTTAAAGTAAAATAATAATAATAATAATAATAATAATAATAAAAAGAAACGCAGAGACCCAGGTTCCACTCAAGACCTGCTGAATCAGGATGTGTATTTTAACAAGACTCCCCAGGCGACATGGCTGCACATTAAAGTTTGAGACACTCCGGTCTGGAAGACACAGTCAGTCCTCAGTAGAATCCCCCATATCCTCCACTTTTTCCTGAACATCCCCATCACCTGCCTGGTCTTGCTGAAACCTGCTCTGACCTGGGGTACTCCTGCCCCTGCAGGTCTCTCCAGTGGTGCCTGTTTCCCTCTTCTTTCCCTCTCCCAAGGCCCTCCTGGCTCTGTGTCCCATGCCAGCAGGTCATACCACCCACTTGCTCTTGTGGCTGCTATCCTTGACTGACCCTGGTAGCTGCTTGGCACTTCTGGTTCCTTGTCACTCCAACACGACTTAGTGATTTCAGCATCTGGTGATCCATTCAGTGTCCTGGACCCTCAGTTCTCTCCTCACCTCCAAAAAGCTTGACTTCCATGAGTATACCTTAGATCTTCCCATTACGGAAAACACACACACACACACACACACACACACACACACACACACCCTTCTGCATCCTTGCTATAAGCTCAGTTTCAAGTAACCACTCTCCAGCCACTATTTCCCATTTTCCTCCTCACTCCCTCAAGCACTTCGATGGTATTTCTACCACTGCAGGACCCATAACACATTGATTCATCCTCCACCTCACTGTCCCTCACCCCTCATCTCCTCATTTCTCTCCTTGCCACTGTTATTCCACACTTCATCCTTACAAGCAGTCTCTTCCATACACCTCCCTCCTCTCTCTTTTGGTCATACAGCCTCAACAAAGTCACAGTCTTCGTTAAATCCAACTCTCTGCCTTCACCATGCAGTTGTACACAACCCAAGAAAAACTCGTAACTATTACTTTAAGCACAAGATGATTAACCAAGTTATCCTTGAGTGTTGCCAGGCATTTCCCTAGTCTGTTCTCTCTTCTGCTCTCCTAGATGACTGTCCCATTCCCCTTCCTCAAACTCTGAACATCCCTCCCCCATCCTCACTCTTGGAACCAATGTAGTGATTCATGTTAGGTGTTCACCTGATGGGGCTTAGGTCGGGGTTTCACCATGTTGACCAGGCTGGTGTCGAACTTCTGACCTTAAATGATCCACCCACCTTGGCCTCCTAAAGTTTTTTATCTTGAAATTTGTGATGAGCATGGAGTTAGAGTGAGAGAGGTAAGGGCCACTTTGAGTTTTACCCAGTTCCATTTCCTATTTTCCTGTTGCTCCTCGAAGAGACAGAGTGGTCACACATCTTATCAATGATCTGTAGTGGTTCATATTATACACTTCTTGAGTAGCTCACTCTAGCAGCTTACCCAGCATTAACAAGTAGTTATCACAGTGCTTGGTGTGCAGTGGACAGTAATAAATATTTGCCAAGTGAAGACTGAATAAATAAAACGTTCAATCAAAATGTAAATCTGTCTCTTTTGTCTTCCTTGAACTTTAGCGAAAAGGAAACTGCTCAGCATTTTTCTCAAAGCCCTTGATTAGACTTGAAGAGAACGTTAAAGAAGGTTTTTTTCTTGACAAAATGACTTCTTAAAACTTTTAATAGGAGCACTTGTTTTTGTTTTTCATTTTTATAGGAATTCTGGTGACTAGTCTGTATTTTATGCAAGGAGGAATGCTGAATACAATAAGCTGTAAAAGGCTTCCAGGAATACAGAGCGAGGAAGAAGGAATAACATTCCTGACCTTGAATGTCATCATCTAAATTGATTAATTTTTAAGCTACCCCCATAAAATAGAACTAATAGAAGAACAGAATTATCTGTTTCTCATCAAGATTCAATTCAGTAGGCATTTGCTGAATATCTTTGCAATGTGTTCTGGGTGCATTCAAATAAGTAAAATGTACAGCTGGTAACTTCGGAGATGCTCTGTTTTTTCAACAGTGTGAAGTAAGATGTCTTTTTTGATTTGGCATAACCCAAGAAGGCTTTTTAAAGGAAACACTAATTTCTAGTGTTTACTTGCCTTAGAACTTTGAATCAAGAAGCAGAGAAAGGCAGTTAGGGAGGTGTGAAATGTTTTAACTGACCAAGAATTTCCTTTCTCTTTGAATGCTCTCTTTCCATTTTGCCATTTCACATTTTAAAATTTTTTATAAATACTATCAAAGGCTTATGCTGGATTCCAAAGAAGTTAATAGAAACTTTGCATATATAAATGGAATTCCCAGAATAGTTGAATGGAATGTATACTATTGTGAGTAAATGTTTTTTATAATTTTTTCCTTTTACTTATTCTCATTGCCATTATATTATTCAATTTTGTGACGTTTTATAAATTCACCATTTATGTGATTTTTTTGGGGAGGAATTTTTAAAAAGATAGGCAGCAGCTTTTTATAAGTTGCAAAAACCATTCTTAGATGCCACATTTAACCAGGAACACTTAAAAAAAAAAGCATTTTTATTTATTTTTTATTTTTTATTTTTATTTTTTGAGATGGAGTCTCACTCTGTCGCCCAGGCTGGAGTGCAGTGGCCGGATCTCAGCTCACTGCAAGCTCCACCTCCCGGATTTACACCATTCTCCTGCCTCAGCCTCCTGAAAAAGCATTTTTAAAATATCCATTTTTAATATTTTAGATGAGATTTATTTTTAGTTAATTTTAGTTAACTCAGCAATATTGTTTATTTGGAATCCTGTTACTTAAATGTACAAGCTCTTGCCCAGAGATGAGGTTTATGTATTTTCTCAGGACTGACTTGGAAGATCTATAATAAGTATTAAGGGAAAGTTTCAGTAACATTCTTAGTTAAGGATATCAATGAAAAGTGGTAATAATGTTTGGTCCAATTTATGCCTTGATTGATTTAAATTCCTGATAATTAAAATGAGAAGGGAAACTTGGCTTAATTAGGAGGTATACCGCATTTTTTAAATGATCATATATTTCACTATTAGAAGGGAACAAAAACGATAATTTTCTCCTGCACCCTAAGACCTTGCTCCCTGGGGGTCAGGGCTGTGTCTTAGTCTCTAGAGTTCGCTAAGTTTCTGGAATGTGTGCTCAGGAAACAGAGGGAGAGAGGGGAGGCCTATCTGCCCCCATTTAATTGTGAAGCAATGGAGGTCAAAGAAGTTTCCTGAGATGACATAACCACCAAGAATTACAGTCCCAGATTTTCTGCATCCTCTTGTGTGACATGACAAGAATATATATATCTGGCCTCTGCTCCTGATTCCTGACACAGAGTTCCAAAAACCTTTGTAACTGCCTGAATGATAGGAATGCTAGGAACATCTTTTTGTTATAATATTTGGTCTTAGTACCCAGTTTCTAAAACAAGAACTTCTAAGACCCTTGGAATCTCCAGAGTGATGACTGTCCTTCGCTAATGAAATGACTCAGTATTGGGGGCCCCAGCTGGCTTCAGGATGGGGTTTGGGGAATGAAGACCAAGGCATGATCCGAGGGATGGACTTCCAGCCTCCCCGACCTTCGGGGAGGGCAGCGGGGCTGGAGATGAGTTAATCACCAATGGCTCATGATTTAAAAACTCATGCCCAAATAATAAAGTCTGAATGAAAACCATTAAATTTCTTATTCCTCTGCCCCTGGCACCTCATCGTCTTACCACTACTATGCACATCCCTTTGCCCTCCTGAGATTCTTTTCCTTCTGGTTTCTAAGCCTAGCTAAAGTGACCTCTGACAGCATGGGATACTGAAAGAGAAAGTTCAGGACTTTTACTATCCTACTGTAGGCTGTGTCTTGTACTGTCTTGTGGGAAGGAAATTGGCTTAAAGCAGGATGAGTCAGAAATCGGGGACTGTTTCCTAACACTAAGTAGTCCCTATGCGTTCCCCTTCTCAGATGTGGTTTTGTTCACCATTAGGTTGGTCCACATTGAGTGTTCAGGAAATACTTAGTTCCATCGGTCCTAGTTTCCATTCATGGGGATGGGTGACTCCTGAACATTCATTCATACGATGGTCCTACCTAGGCTCTACCCATATTCATACAGGTGTAAGAGTCAGACCCCAGTAGTAGATGAAAACTCTATGATGTGTATCTCTTATGTACTGATCTCATGCATGAATGGAGGTGCTGGCCATTTGGGCTCTACCCATCCACATGATTTCTAGAATCTAAGCCTACCCATCTGAAGGTACTCATACCCTTCCAGAGCTTTCATGTCTCCCCAAGGCACATTGTTTCCTTAATCACTAATGGGGAATCTGTCCCTTTGTTCTGCCTGCATATAGTCAGCTTGTCATAAGAGTACTAGAATGGCGGGGATTTCCACTCTATGGGCCTCTTTACATGTAGACTGGCATGCTCCATTTACCACCGTGATAGTCAAAAAAGCTCTCTGTCTAAAAACGGCCTTAATATGCTAAGTCTTTGCCTAACATTAGCATTCAAGGCCTAATGGGGTTTGTCTTAATCTACTTGGGCTGCTATGACTATATACCACAGGCTGGATGTCTTGAATAACAGAATTTATTTTCTCACAGTTCTGGAGCCAAGAGGTCCAAGATTAAGGTGTTGGAAAATTTGGTTTCTGGTGAGGCCTTACTTCCTGGCTTGCAGATGATTGCCTTCTCCTTGTGTCTTCACATGGAGTCTCTCTTCCCTCCCCTTCAGCCTGCCTGTGACTTTGCAACTGCCTTGACTAATAGAGTACAGCTGAAGGCAATACAACATCTACCCAGCTCTCTCTCAGGATACTTGGCCTTGGGAACCAGCCATCGTGCTGTGAGAATGCCTAGCTCTGAGCTGTGGCTGAGCTCCCACACAGAGGCAGTGAGTACCGACTTGCCAACTGTGTGTTAGCCAGCCTGGAGGTGGACCTTCCAGCCACTGAATGTCCCTGTGAGGCAGAGATGAGCCTTCCCTGCAGAGCCCTGCCCAGACTGCAATTCACAGGCAACATAAATGACCATTGTTGTTTAAATCACCAAGTTTTGGGGTGGTTTACTAAGCAATATAATAGGCACCAGGAAAAATTGGGGATGAGCCTTTTCTCTTGTTGCTTCCTTGTAATATAATTTTTAACTCCTCAGAACATAAAAGAGATTTCTCCAGACTTTTGTTAAGCTTTTAGAAATATAACTGGGGCAAAAGGAATGACTGAATATATGCATCTACATCTTTTTTATTCCAATATCCTAATGAAATTATATGAAATTTCATATAAAAAATCCAGCAAACTAAATCTGAAATGTATAAAATGAAATATATGCCATGATCCACAGGGATTTATCCCACATACATAAGGCTGGCTCAACATTCAAAAATCAATTAATGTAGTCCATCACATCAACAGGCTAAAAAAGGAAATCACATGATCTCATCAATATATGCAGAAAAGACATTTGACAAAATCCAATGCCTGTTCATGATAAAAACACTCAGCCTACTAAGAATAGTGAGGAGCTTCCTAAACCTTATAAATAATGTATAAATAATGTATACATTTAAAGTCCTACAGTTAATACCATGCCTAATAGTGAGAAATTAGAAGTTTTCTGGCTAAGATTAGGAACAAGACAAGGGTGACCTCTCTTGCCACTCTTTTTCAACATCTTACTGGCAGTCCTAGCTAGTGCAGTTGGACAAAAAAAGGAAATAAAATGTATACTGATTGGGAAGAAAGAAATAAAACTGTCTTTGTTCATAGATGACACAATCATCTACATCGACAATTGAGAAGAGTCTCCAAAAATCTCCCGGCCCTTATAAATAATTATGGTAAGGATGCAGGATGTAAGGTCAATTTGTAAAAATCTATTTCTTTCATAAAAATGAACAATAAACAAATAGATAAAATTACAAATACAATACCATTTACATTAGCACCCCAAAAATTATATACTTAGGTATAAATCTAACAAAATATGTACATAACATACATAAGAAAATCTATAAAACTGTGATAATAGAAATCGAAGAACTAAATAAAATGGAGAGATATTTTATTTTCATGGGTGGGAAGACAATATTGTCAAGATGTCAATTCTTCCCAACTTGATCTCATTTTGGGGTGGTTTATTAAACACTATATAATAGGGACTCAACAGGGACTCAATGCAATCTCAATCAAAATTCCAGCAAGTTATTTTGTGGATACTTACAAACTGATTATTGAATTTATATGGAGAGATGAAAGACCTAGAACAGCCAAATCAATATTGAAAGAGAAAAACAGGGTTGTGGACTGACACTACTTGACTTCAAGACTTGCTATAAAGCTTCAGTAATCAAAATGGTACGATATTAGCAAAAGAATGGACAAGTAGATAAGTGGGACAGAATAGAGAGCCCAGGAATAGAACCACATAACAACTGACTTTTGAAAAAGAAGCAAAGAAAACTCCATGGAGAAAAGACAGTCTTTTCCTCAAATGTGCTGGAACAACTGGCCATCCATATGCAAAAACAAACAAACAAGCAAACAAAAAAAAAAAACGGAATCGAGACACAGAGATTACATCTTTCACAACAGTTAACTCAAATGGATCATAGACCTAAATATTAAGTGCAAAATTATAAAACTCCCAGAAGATAATGTAAGAGAAAATCTAGATGTCCTTGGGTATGATGATTGTTTTTAAAATACAGTAACAAAGATAAAATTGATATGCAAAGCTTCATTAAAATTAAAAATTGCTCTATGAAAGGACTCTCAAGTCACAGACTGGGAGAAAATATTTGCAAAACACATATCTGATAAATGATTGTTATCCAAAATATGCAAAGAACTCTTAAAACTCAACAATAAGGAAAGGAACAACTCAATTTAAAAAATGGGCAAAAGACCTGAATAAATATCTCACCAAATAAAGTATATAGATGGCAAATAAGCACATGAAAAGATGCTCAACATTGCATGTCATTAGAGAATTGTAAATTAAAATGACACTACACATCTATTAGAATGTACACATCAACTACACATCTATTAGAACGGCCAAAATCCAGAACGCCTGATGAAACCACGTGCTGACAAAGATGTGGAACAGCAGGAATTTTCATTCATTGATGGTGGGGATGCAAAATGGTCCAGACACTCTGGAAGATAGTTTGGCAGTTTCTTACAAAACTAAACATACTCTTACCACATAATCCAGCAATCACATACCTTACTATTTACAAAACAAAGTTTTGTGGTAAAAACTTTGTCCACAAAAAAACTTGTGCAAAGATGTTTGTAACGTCATTATTACTAATTGCCCACACTTGGAAGCTACCAAGACATCCTTCAGTGGGTGAACGACTAAACAAACTCTGGTAGATTCAGACAATGGAATATTGTTTAGTGATAAAAAGAAATAATCTATCATGCCAAGAAAAGATATAGAGGAACCTTAAATACATATTACTAAGTAAAAGAAACCAATGTGAAAAGGCCATATACAGTATGATTCCAACAACATGATCTTTGAAAAAGGTAAAACTATGAAGACAGTAAAAAGATCAGTGGTTGTCGGCCGGGCGCGGTGGCTCATGCCTGTAATCCCAGCACTTTGGGAGGCCGAGAGGAGCGGATCACGAGGTCAGGAGATCGAGACCATCCTGGCAAACACGGTGAAACCCCGTCTCTACTAAAAAAATACAAAAAATTAGCCGGGTGTGGTGGCGGGCGCCTGTGGTCCCAGCTACTCAGGAGGCTGAGGCAGGAGAATGGCGTAAACCCGGGAGGCGAAGCTTGCAGTGAGCCTAGATCGCGCCACTGCACTCCAGCCTGGGCAACTGAGCGAGACTCTGTCTCAAAGAGAAAAAAAAAAAAAATCTGTGGTTGTCAGGGGTTGCAAGGAGAGAGGGATGAATAGGCAGAGCACAGAGGGCAGTGGAACTATCCTGTATGATACTATTATATAATGGTAAATATATGCCATTATACATTTGTCCATACCCATAGGATGTACAACACTTGTTGAACCCTATGTAAACTGTGGAGTTTGGGTAATAATATTGTGTCAGTGCAGGTTCATTGATTATAACAAATGTACTACTTTGGTGGGAGATGCTGATAGTGAAGAAGGTTGTGAGTGTGTGACAAGAGGGGGATATGGGAACTCTCTGTACCTTCTGTTCAATTTTGCTATAAATCTAAAATTGCTGTAAAACATAAGGTCACTTTAAAATATATATAATCTTTATATAATTAAATATATATAATGTTTAATGTCCATAAAAGCACTAGAAAGCCAGGAGAGCTAGAACTAGCTTATCAGAAACGAGAGGACTTTCAGGAAGACATAAAGAATTGATTATGGTAAATCCAGTAGTGTGGAAAAAAAGATCAAGATGCAGAAATAATGGATTCTATATTTTGGTTTCTTATTTTTTCAACAATAACAATAAAAGGAAATATCAGGAAAAATAGATTCCCACTCACAATTGCAACATAAATTATAAAACCTTGGTTGAAATGTAATAAGGAAAACGTAAGAGCTAAGTGACAAAACTTTAAAACTTTAAGTCGTAAATAAATTGGTAGAAAATAATTCTATACATATTAATATAAAATATAAGTATTTTATATTAATCTGTAAATATAATATTAGTCCCCCCGCAAAGAAAAAATCCTAGTGGAAAGAATTAGATAATTCTGATATTTTCTAGGAAGAGAAAATGTGTAAGAATAGAACATAGCTGGGTGTGGTGGCTTACGCCTGTAATCCCAGCACTTTGGAAGGCCGAGACGGGTGGACCACTTGAGGTCAGGAGTTTGAAAACAGCCTGGCCGATGTGGTGAAACCCCGTCTTTACTAAAAATACAAAAAAATTAGCCGGGTGTGGTGGCATGTGCCTGTAATCACAGCTACTTGGGAGGCTGAGACAGGAGAACTGCTTGAACCTGGGAGGTGGAAGTTGCAGTGAGCTGAGATTGCGCCACTGCAATCCAGCCTGGGTGACACAGCAAGATTTTGTCAAAAAAAAAAAAAAAAAAAAAAGAATAGAATATAAATTTAAAAAATGAAGAATCATAAAGGGGAAATGATTAAGCTATCATATTGAAAAAGTTTGACACTGAAAGGTTAGAAAATTAATCCAGTTAAACAAATGAGCTTCTAGTAAAATACCTATTTGTAAATTCTAATTCAAGATACAATCAAGACAAAATATCAAATTAGTAGGGGGAGGATGGACTAATCAACAGATAGCTTTGAGATCATTGATCAATGACTGTCCAGTTGAGAAAAAACATTTTATTACATTTTATATAAAAATACATGTACAGTGGTGACTACTGGCTTACACCTATAATCCAACACTTTGGGAGGCCAAGAGGCAGGAGGATCGCTTGAGGTCAGGAGTTTGAGACAAGCCTGGGCAAAACAGTGGCAAAAAAAAATCTCTACAAAAATAAATAAATAAAAATTAGCCAGGCATGGTGGTACGTGCCAGTAGTTCCAGCTACTCGGGAGGCTGAGGTGGGAGGGTCCCCCACTTGAGCACAGAAGTTGTAGGCTGTAGTGAGCTAGGATCACACCTCTGAAGCCTGGGGCAGAGTGGGACCCTATCTCTTCAAACAGACAGACAAACCAACCATATACAGAAGAATATAGAAGGACAGTGTTATCATCTTGCTTTGGGGAATATCTTTCTAAGTAAGTTCCTAGAAACAAAGCAAAATGAAAAGCAACTTAATGGGAGGATGTATTTGTAACATACAAAATGACACAGTGTTGATCTCATATATAAAAAACTTCAACAAATCTATATGATAAACAACCCCACAGAAAATGCGCAAAATATATGACAATTCAGAGAAAAGGAAATAGAAATGGTTAAGATAAGCATTTGAAGAGACGTTCAACTTCACTAATAATCAAAAACACGCACATTAAAACAAGATACCACTTTTTAAACATCTAGTTTTAAACAATTCCGGGTTGAATATTCAGTGCTGGGAATGGTCTGTGTAATCAGGCACTTTCCTACAGTGTAAGTGGAAATGTAAACTGTGATCACCTTTGTCCAAGGCAGTTTGGCAGCATATATCCCGACACACCCCTGGGTCCTGTACCTGGCAGATATTACATACGGGGTAATTATTTATTGACAGTGCAGGATTTTACTTTCACGAACGGAAAGAGTTTGCTGTGAGCCAGAGAGGGCTTTAATTCCTGGCTTTGCCATTTATTTACTAAATAACCTTTAAGCAATTGACTGTAACTTCCCTGTGTTCCAACTTCCTTATCTAAAAAAACTGGAGATATTCCTACCTTGTAGGCTGTGAGGAATACTGAAACAATACATGAAATGTTTCATCTAAAGGCTACCAACTTACAAGTGCTCAATGAAGAAAAGACTTTGT